ACTATAGATCATTCTATAGGCTAGGCTATAGATCAGCCTATAGGCTAGACTATAGATCAGTCTATAGTCGAGACTATGGATCAGACTATAGATCAGTATACAGTCGAGACTAAAGATCAGTCTATAGTCGAGACTATGGATCAGACTATAGATCAGTATACAGTCGAGACTGTAGATCAGTCTACAGTCGAGATTATAGATCAATCTATAGTCGAGACTATATAGCAGTCTATAGTCGAGACTATAGATCAACCTTTGGATAAGACTATAGATCAATCTATAGTTGAGACGTAGATCAGTCTGTAGTTTAGACTATAGATCAATCTATAGTTGAGACTACAGATCAGTCTATAATCGAGACTATCAGGCCTGTCACAGTATTCCATTCCGATCGAAAGTGGAATTATCTTTCCTAATTTTCTTCTTCAAAAGAGGAAAATGACAACTTTTTCAGGTTGAAACCACTTCACATTTTCAACGTGGAATTGACAAGATATTATTTTTTTTAAGTTTTCATCGATTTATTTACAAGTTATAATTCCACTTTCGATCGGAATGGAATTCTCTGACAGGCCTGTATAGACCAGTCTATAGCTGAAACTATAGATCAATCTCTAGTCGAGACCAGAGATCAGTCTATAGTCGAGACTATAGATCAGTCTATAGTTCAGACTATAGATCAGCCTGAAACCGAGATTATAGCATATTATATAGTCAAGACTGCATACCGGTTTTAAGCTACTGAAGTTAAACAAATTAATTGATTATTATTCCTAGTATCAACCTAGACATTACGTCTACTACATTATTTCAATGTCAGCCTAAAAATATGTTTTCTATAATATTCACAATATTCTTTATTAAAAAAAAGATAATAAATTATTTATTACGTTTTGGCTTATATTTCTTTTTATAAAGGTGTTGAGCATAAAAAAATATATATACTCAATTTTTTGTTGGCGTTTAAACTCCAACACTAAATCGTTTACCTCAACACTCTCTAGATCCCCAACATGCTGCTGTTCTCTTTTAAAGAGTATTAAAGTAATACAACACTTCTATTTTATCAAAATGCAAAATAAACAATTTGTTTTTTTTTTAATCAGTTATCAAGACAAAACTGAATCCCAAAGTTTTTCAGTTGTAGATATGATTTGTTAAAGAGAATTGTTGTACAATGTACAGATACAAAATGAATTTTAAACGGATTAGTGATGCATAAAGAAAATTTGAAATAGTACTAAGAAAACAGTTCTTTTTGGGCACTACTTTTATTTTTATTGGTCTATTGTTTTGATATAAACTGCTCTAAAGTCTTTACTATAGACTCATCTATATACTGATCAATAGTATTGACTATGAACTGAACCATTGTCTGGATTATATAGTTGTCTATAATTTCGCCTATATACTGATCTATTGTGTTGACTATAAATTGAGCTATAGTCTTGACTATAGACTGATCACAGCATTGACTAAGGAGTGATCTATAGTCTCGACTATAGACTTATCTATAGTCTTGACTATCGCTGTATTAATTGCTAATCTGGTCTAAAGTCTTGACTATGTATAAACCACACATCATGCTAAAATGGGATGACCTAAAGACTATGGTACTTTTTCTTTCGTACCAAAATTTCCCTGTTAAACTCCTATGTACCTGCCTTTCAATGTGGTCTAAACTCTGAGAGCTTCTGTGCAAACTTGGGAGCACATACACTATTAAAAAGTCAATCGCACAACATTGTTTTCGGTAACATTGTTTTTTTCATTAAGTACTCTAATGTATAAAAGTTATGTGTGATTTTTTTTACCAGTTTTGTTTTTATTTTCTATTTCTGGTTTGCTGATTATTCAGTTATCAGCATATCGTTTGAAAAAAAAAAAAAAATATAGCGTAGATGAAATTACCTGAAATAGCTTTAGTAAGTATATTAGTGTGCAAGTATATATTGGTTATATATTGTGGTAGTTGTTACGAGTGAATATCATCAGACTAGTCGTTTGTTGGAACATAGAAAAAATACCATTAACAAACGGTGTTAAACAGCTGACATAAAAGTATTGATAATTATGGTTGATGGACTATTAGGGGGATTACATAATTATGGAGTGGTAGCTTATGGGGAATAAATATGACTGGACAGTAGTAAATAGAGTGAATTTTTGATGGAAACTTTGTCTATAGTCTTGACTATATACTGGTCTATAGTCTTGACTATAGATTGGACTATAGTCCCGACTATAGATTGGTCTATTGTTTTGACTATAGATTGGTCTATTGTTTTGACTATAGACTGGTCTATAGTATTGACTATACTCTGGTCTATAGTGTTAACTATAGACTGTTCTATAGTCTTGACTATAGACTGGTCTATAGTCTTGACTATAGACTGTTCTATAGTCTTGACTATAGACTGGTCTATAGTCTTGACTATAGACTGGTCTATAGTCTTGACTATAGACTGGTTTATAGTTTTGACTATAGACTGGTTTATAGTTTTGACTATAGACTGTTCTATAGTATTGACTATAGACTGGTCTATAGTCTTGACTATAGACTGTTCTATAGTATTGACTATAGACTGGTCTATAGTGTTAAATATAGACTGTTCTATAGTATTGACTATAGACTGGTCTAAAGTTTTGACTATAGACTGGTCTATAGTCCTGACTATAGACTGTTCTATAGTATTGACTATAGACTGGTCTATAGTGTTGACTATAGACTGGTCTATAGTGTTGACTATAGACTGATCTATAGTCTTGACTATGGACTGGTCTATAGTCTTGACTATAGACTGATTTATTGTTTTGACTATAGACTGATTTATTGTTTTGACTTTAGACTGGTCTATAGTGTTGACTATAGACTAGTCTTGGCTATAGACTCGACTATAGTCGTGACTACATACTGGTCTATAGTCTTGACTATAGACTTGTCTATAGTAATGACTATATATTGGTCTGTAGTCTTGACTACAAATTGGACTATAGTCTTGACTATATGCTGGTCTATTGTTCTGACTATACACTGGTCTATAGTGTTGACTATAGTCTGGTCTATAGTGTTAACTATAGTATTGACTATAGACTTTTCTATAGTATTGTGTATAGACTGGTCTATAGTAGTGTTGACTATAGACATGTCTATAGTCTTGATTGTAAACTTTTCTATAGTATTGACTATACACTGGTCTAATAGTCTTGACTATAGATTGGACTATAGTCTTGACTATATACTGGTCTATTGTTTTGACTATAGACTTGTCTATAGTAATGACTATATATTGGTCTGTAGTCTTGACTAAAAATTGGACTATAGTCTTGACTATATGCTGGTCTATTGTTCTGACTATAGACTGGTCTATAGTGTTGACTATAGTCTGGTCCATAGTGTTAACTATAGTATTGACTATAGACTTTTCTATAGTATTGTGTATAGACTGATCTATAGTCTTGTCTATAGTGTTGACTATAGACATGTCTATAGTCTTGATTGTAAACTTTTCTATAGTATTGACTATACACTGGTCTAATAGTCTTGACTATAGATTGGACTATAGTCTTGACTATATATTGGTCTATTGTTTTGACTATAGACTGGTCTATAGTGTTGATTATAGACAGGTCTATAGTGTTGACTATATACTGGGCTATAGTGTTAACTATAGACTGTTCTATAGTAGTGACTATATAGTGGTCTATAGTCTTGACTATAGACTTTTCTGTAGTATTGACTATAGACTTTTCTATAGTATTGACTATAGACTGGGGTATAGTCATGATTATAGACTGGTATATAGTCTTGACTATAGACTGGTATATAGTATTGACTATAGACCTTTCTATAGTATTGAATACAGACTGTGTTAACTATAGACTGGTCTATAGTGTTTACTATAGACAAGTCTATAGTCAGGACTATAGATGAATCTATAGTCAAGACTATAGACGAATCTATAGTAAAAGATTTATATAGTCTTGACTATAAATCGGAGAATAGTGTTGACTATAGACTGGTCTATAGTATTTACTATAGTACCGACTAGAGACAGGTCTATATATAAATAATTTATAATCTTTACCATGGACTGGTACAAAGTCAAGACTATTAACTTTATTATAGTCTTGACTATAGGCTGGTCTATAGTGATGGATATAAATCTATAGCCTTCACGTCAAAAAATGCAAAATTTTGCCTTGCAAACGTCCTAAACTGTTAGTGTTAGCAAATTGGTCCTTCGAAAAATTAAACACAAACTATGTGGCAACTTTGTATATTGCTCAAGTGTTTACATTTGTACTAGCAAGTGCCGTTACCACCTGACTACTGTCACGTTACCCAGATTAATTAAAGTCAACACTTTATTTTACGGCATCAAAACTAACAATTACCCCCAATACTTAATAGGGCTTACAAAAAACGTTATGTTCTTTCTCTTGCATAAAAAACTCGTACAAACACACCTCTAGTCTGCTCAAAAACTTATATATTTATTTAGTGCTCGTGCATTTTGTGTCTCTTTCTCTCTCGCTCTTTTACACTCTCTTTAGTTGTAATTATTTAAACAGGTGAAGTAAGTTGTTTTTGTTGTTGCCCAAATGGATCGGTGCGAAATGTTGAAGCTATAAAAAAATGTATTCGTTTTTTGCACTCTAATGAAAATTGTCCTCAAAAAATAAACACCAGACATTTTGTCAGTCAGTCCGTACGTCAGTTATACTCAGATGCAGTCATAGTCACGCTTTTATTTATTATTGTGAAGAATCTTTTAACATCGTAAGAAACAAACTCTGGCCCGAGTACTGGTTGTTTTTTTTTTTTTGTTGTATCGGGGATCGGGTTTATACAAAATTTCTGTTACGCTCTTAAAGGCGAGCGAGCGGATTCTTAATAAATAAAAACAAATGTATGATTGCTGAGATTTTTTTTTTCATATTCATATTTATTTTATATTGTACTTTCGGTTTTGTTAAATTTCTTGACGTTTTTTTAGAGCTAAACGAGACCTTTAACGTTAAACACATAGACGTGTTTGTCGTCGTCGTGTTTTTGTTACCAAAAAAAAAAAAAAAAGAATTAAAAGAAAAAAAATAATAATAAATTTATACAAAAAAACTAAGCTGTTGATTTAAATAATAACAATAATTTATATATAATAAAAAAATAAATAAATTACATATATTTAAAAATAACAATTATAAAAAAAACCTTAATTAAAACGCTTAAAAAAAAAACAAAGCGTTTACACCTTCAACAACTGTCAGCCAACAATTTTTCGTAACTCCAGCCATTAAAAATGTGTCGCTGTTGTCAAAAGTAAGTACAAAATATAAACAATTTATTTATTTTGTTGTTGTTTTTTTCCCCCCTAATACACATTTTTTATGCAATTGTGTATTAATTTTTTTATGTAATAATATTTTAATGATAATAATTTGTATTTATTTTGTTTGTTTATTTTTAGTTGCTGGGAAGATTTCTATTGGAATTGTTTTGAGGAAAAATTTTGTTATGATGAATCTATTGGTAAGTAATGTCTACGGTTATCAGTAGTTAGGGTGTTTAAGGGATAAGTGATTTAAATTATCACGTCAAAGTGTGTAATAGTATTCATGTTTGGCAAAACTAAATAATAAACATTTTTATTATAGTTTTTTTCTGACTAATAGCGTTATTTTTATGACTTAAACGTTTTGCATTTTGGATGATTCAATATCGTTTGTGTATTAAAGCTGAGAATTTTGAAATTTTGAATTTCATAAGACAGAATTAGTTTTGATCCTCAGTGAGGTCATTCATAAATAAATTGTCCAGACGTGTTTTAACATTGTTCTAATGATTGATTTCCAAATTTTGAATACAACAATTGTATTTTTAATATTGGTAAGATTATAAAGATTTTGGGGCTTGACAATAACTACATACATAGCGCTATTCAGTATTAGCTCTAAAAGGGGATTCACTTTCGCATTTATATAGTTTCAATAACAAGTTTTATTATTATTAAAATCGTGTTCGATCTCTGAATTTAGGAAATTTCAAAGAATCCCCTGAAAACATTGGGGATTCACTAATTCACTAACTAATTAAAATTCTCAATTTCCTGGATTGCGTCTGATTAGACGGATTACGTTGCTAGAAACGGACCAAAACAGCCCCCTGCGACTTGCAAAGTAAACTCAGATGGACTTTTTCTCTTTCGAATTTTTATAGTTTCATGTTCGTCATATTCGATCTCAGACTTAAGAAATGTTCGAAGAATCCCCTGTAAACTTTTATCATAAAGTCCGCAATCATCTGAAAGTTCCTGGATTGCCCTACATAAGTGCGCTGCTAGAAACGGCTCATTACCGTTCCCCTATGACTTGCAAAGAATACTCAGATGGGCATTTTTGTACATGACTGTGCCGGTCCTTGTACAAGCACCTTGTCAAAGAATTTCAGCTATCAGACCATTGCGATGCCGAAGCGAAATATCCAGCAATATTCAGACCCTATATGAAGCCTTTTTCGACAATATACAAACAACCACAATGATGGAATTTGAATCGGCAACAGCAGCTATAGACTTATTTGATCAGTAAGCCAAGAATTTGCTTCCTTAAGATGGGAAATTTATCGATAACACAAGGACTGGAATACCGTACATCCCTCATCATTCAAGTCAGCCATCCGACACATTCATAGGTTTCACCTTACACGCACATCATTTGACTCAATCTGCCTTGTGTTCTTGTGAAATCAACTTACTCCCAACAGTAATTTCTATATGGAGTTCTGTTCCTGCTGTATGGAAAACTTATCCGGAAATATTTATTTAACATTGACAGGACAGGGATACCGTACATCTATTACCCTACAAGCCAGACATCTGACATATTCATAGGCCTCATCTCACCCGCACATCTCTGACTCAATATGCCTTCTGTTCTTGTGAAATCAACTCAATCCCAATATATAGTGACCGCAGTCACTCCTCTCTGGGGTTCTGTTGAGTCAGCAATAGCAGGTGAAACTTATTATCTTGAAATGTTTATTTAATTGGGTATCAATCTTAAACCAACATTCTCCTACCACGTTTGAGGTTTCAACCAGTATCTGTAACATGATTATGAATCCAGCCGACCACCAACTCCTGTAATTCTAGATCAGATATTGGTTCTGGTCAAAACGAAAGTCAAACAAGCTTGAGGAGTTATTTAACTTATACAGTTTCTAGTCGCGGCAGACTAGAGGTACTGGTAGCACATCTATTCCCCGAGATTGCAATAAATTCAAGGTTTACCAAGGAAACATGACCCAAGGGGCCCTTGATCTGATAGTAATAATTAAGATACTAATTCTTCTGTTCACACAAATGATTTTTATAAATTTTATTATTCCGTCGTCTAAACGGAGTCAATAAATTGGCAAATTTTGCTTCTTCTGTGGTCATAGTTGGGAGTAAGAGCAAGATGTATTTTTCTTCTAAATTTTTGGATCTTAAAGCTAACATATTTATATGATTTAGATCAGGACCATTAGGTCAAACAAACGAAAAATATAACTCTTATACCGCCCAGGAAGTTACGCGCTAAGAGACTTGTGTTCTTAGTATTGCGATCCTATAGGTTATCTACTATATATTCTGTTCAAGATCTATCAGTTTTGTTTAAGAATTTCTCTTGGGAATCTATAAATAAGTTAAATTTGCTTTCGACGCTCTATAAGAAGTTAGACCACAGTTTTACTTTAGCAATTCTGATAAAGTTTCGGCAACTCTAAAAGCTTCTTTATCTTGACCCTGCTACACTAATAAGATATCTGCTTGAAGCTTATTATGATCGATTTATTTAATCTCCGGTGCGATATGTGAACTCTAATATAGAAAACGATCCGAAAAAATAGATAGATTTATCTAATTTCGAGTTGCAATTTTTTGTTATCGGAAATTTATGTATCAGTTTTAGCGACGTTGTCCTGTACTTCTAAATATGGTATGTCTAAATTACTATCTTTATTTTTGTCACTCTGCACTGATTTCTTTAACCAGATTTGTTTATATAAATTATAATCCAAAGTAAACAAAAATCACGTGACAGCTGTCAACATGACTCTGACACTGAAAACAATTTTAGCAACTTTAAGTTATCTACCTTTAAAAACACAGTTATTTTTTTGGGGGAAAAAAGTGTAGATTGTGTTATCAATTTTATTTTAATATATCAACAAAATTAGGAAGAATTAGTCTAAATTTATAGGTCTTGGGAATTCAAGTCATCGGACCTTTGTACTTTCTTATATATTCTTCGACAAGATTTAAGGATTCTATTGAGTTGTCAATGTTTTTGCAACAGATTGAAGAAGTTTTTATTTTCACTACATTTAATTCTCGGTCCAAGTTTTTTTATTCGAAATCGTGTTAGTTTTTCAGAAATTTTATAAGTCAACCAAACTTTGGACCAAGTTTGGAATGAAATATATCTCAAACTAACTTTTGAATACTAAGAAAATAGATTTTATAGGGGCGTATCAGAAAAAAACATATTTCAGAGAAAGAGTGTTATGCATTGATCCAATAAAATCGTAGTCCAAAAGATCTGTTCAGATATTCCGATTTAATCTAATCAATTTATTTCGGTTCATGTACTGTGCGATCATATGATCTGATATCAGTAGCCTACAATAGATGGCATCTCTTTGGGTTCCATAAACACAAAGGGTTTACATTGCGGTTAGGGACACTCAGTTTAAGTATGGTTGGCCGAGCTTCACATAGGATTTCTTTAGAGTTATCGCAAGTTGTTCAAATGCAGCTCTCAGTTTCCCGAACATGAAAGTTCAAAATAAACTTATTACTCCTCCATTCTTTCCTCTTTTAAAACATTTTCTGAAGTCTAAAGTTTGCAACTCTACCCATGTTTAAGAGAATCTAATGAGTATGGTTCGTTTATCGGTAGACTTTACCCTTACATGTAGCATATATTCGACTGAGTTTGAGAGTTGGCCTTCGTATGGCGCGTTATTGTCATAGAGTTCAAAACGCATGATCTTAGGGATCAATCTTGGGAATAATTGAACCAGAATTGATCGCAATGACCTAATCCTTTATATCTCCACAACCAGATGAAAATCTACTGCAAAATGTATTTTAATCTTTTATCGTTGACGTTGTTTATGATCAGTAACGCGATTAGCCTAAATCCACATTCAAAATTTCCCAAATTTAACAAACATCAAGACAAATTCCGAGTTTATGCTCTTTTTTAGCGAAAGCTCGCGAAGTTCTTCGTGGATAAGCCTTTTCATTGACATATCGAACTTTCTGTACAATCTTTGATAGTCCATCATGTCCAAATTAAGATAATTCAAATACAGGTCAACAATTTGTTCTAAATTCAAGTTCGAGTAAAGGTAAAGAATCGATTGCCGGGCACTTTAAACAGAGAGTAGCAATGTCCTCGGCAGTTTTTACGGCAGATCGTATAATCTTTGAAAGCCCACTGGATCCAAATTCATATTTTTCATATGCAGTTCTCGGTAGTTTTTACGGCAGATCGTATAATCTTTAAAAGTCCACTGGATCCAAATTCGTATTTTTTATATGCAGGATAAACAAATTTCTAAATTGAAGTCGAAAAAAGTCCTAGTTCCAATGGACGGTGAAGAATCGTTTGCCGATCTCTTTTATAGAGATCAGCGATGTTCTCGGCCGTTTTTCGACAGATCGTAGCCTAGCATTGTGAAAACTTTGAGCTGTCATCAGTGAATGATCACCAGGTTTGCTGTGGTTTCCAAAATCACATGGTTTTTATGCAGTTCTTTGATCTTAACATTAAGGTGATCATCTCACCACTGTCTATCTTGAAGAAATACTGATCCACTTCTATAAGCATTGTCTATAATTGTGATCACAGACTTGCTTGATCATTTCCTCATTAAGCTTTCAATGAGTCACTAATTGATTATTCATTGTTTATATTTAAGAATTCGAATTTGACAAACTAATTTTCAAACTCTAAACAAATTTCTCTTAATTTCAGCCAATTACAATCCCGAAGAAGATGAGCAATATTTAGCAACACAAAAAAATGGCAATGTTTTGGGACGCATACAGCCAGCGGACAATAACAATTTAACCGTACCACAAATAATTGTTGATCAACCATTAAGAAGGGGAAACTCATCGGCTTTATTCAGGTACTAATTGATTAACTAAATACTTAACAATTTCATAAGAAAATAAAAAATTAACTCTAATAACATGATCATCATCAACAACAACTACCATTAACTTTGGAAAATTAACACATAACTTTTTTGAAGCTTTATTTTTTTTTTGTCCGATTTCGTGTGAATACTATTTAACAATTCAATTTCTTGTACTTTTTTTAAAAAATAATAATTTGTGAAAAAAATATAAATATTTATACACTTCATTAACACAGTAATGGCAAAATTGATGAAGAAGTCTATAGACGTGAAACCCAAACAAATGTACCCATGTTGGGACCCGAAATCCTGGCCGTATTTGCCAATTCACAAATATTCCAGGATCATCAGCCAACAAAATTGAATCGCATCAATACCAAGATAAATTTAGCGGGTATACACTCTCCTAAACGTGAAATACCCACCACGCCGAAGGAAAGCGATCAGGATCGTTTGCTGAGACGTTTGGAAGGTAATAATGAATCTACACCATTTTTATCGAGACATAGTATGGACAATGGGCCTGGTAGCCCGGGCACTACTACGCCTCAGTTAAAAGTTAAATTTTATTTAGATTAAGGGTTTGTTTTGTATAACGCCAGGGAGGGTTTGAAAAAGTTTAAAGTATTATTTTTTTTTTTTAGTTTTTAACAATTAAGTTTCATAATATTTAATTAATTAATAAGTTTAAGTTTAAAATTATGCAAACAAAAGTACTGAAATTATAAAGTCGCAATATTATTTTTTATGTTTTATGTTTAATTTAATTTAATTTTTTAACAAAAAACAATAATAAGACTTGTTAATGAGTTGGCAACACTTTTTATTATATAAATTCTTAACCTAACCTCAACTGTATTAAATAAGTTTAACTTTAGTTTTAAATTTATTTAGTTTATTGTTATTAGTTTTATGCCAAAGAAAAATTTTTGTTTTCAGTTTAAATATTATTAATAAATAATATTTAAGTTTAATAATGTTATATTTTCCAATTTTAATAATCAAAAAAAAAAAGTCTAACAAAAATATTTTGTTTATTACTTCTTCAATTATTATTTTGTTATTGTTAAATGAAAATAAATTATTTTTCGCTGCGATATAAATTATGAACTTTTGTTTCGAGTAATTTTTGCCAAAAATAATTTCCTTGATTAGCAACATACATTTTTATCTGCTGAAAATCTACTTAATTCATTTACCCATATAATGAGTATTTTTAGTCGTTTGTATCAGGCATGGAAAACTGAAATTTTTGAATTGTACTAACTTATAATAAATAGTAAGATTTACACTAAAGACTAGACTATAGACTAGACTATAGGCTACACTTTAGACTAGACTATAGACTAGACTATAGACTAGACTATAGACTAGACTATAGACTAGACTATAGACTAGACTATAGACTATACTATATACTAGACTATAAACTAGACTACAGACTAGACTATAGACTAGACTATAGACTAGACTATAGACTAGACTATAGACTAGACTATAGACTAGACTATAGACTAGACTATAGACTAGACTATAGACTAGACTATAGACTAGACTATAGACTAGACTATAGACTAGACTATAGACTAGACTATAGACTAGACTATAGACTAGACTATAGACTAGACTATAGACTAGACTATAGACTAGACTATAGACTAGACTATAGACTAGACTATAGACTAGACTATAGACTAGACTATAGACTAGACTATAGACTAGACTATAGACTAGACTATAGACTAGACTATAGACTAGACTATAGACTAGACTATAGACTAGACGAGACTAGCTATTAGACTAGACTATAGACTAGACTATAGACTAGACTATAGGACTAGACTATATACTAGACTATAGACTAGACTATAGACTAGACTATAGACTAGACTATAGAACTAGACTATAGACTAGACTATAGACTGACTATCGACTAGACTAGACTAGACTATAGACTAGACTATGACTAGACTATAGACTAGACTATAGACTAGACTATAGACTAGACTATAGACTAGACTATAGACTAGACTATAGACTAGACTATAGACTAGACTAATAGACTAGACTATAGACTAGACTATAGACTAGACTAGACTAGACTATGACTATAGACCTAGACTATAGACTAGACTATAGACTAGACTATAGACTAGACTATAGACTAGACTATAGACTGACTATAGACTAGACTATAGACTAGACTAGACTAGACTATAGACTAGACTATAGACTAGACTATAGACTAGACTATAGACTAGACTATAGACTAGACTATAGACTAGACTATATTAGACTAGACTAGACTATAGACTAGACTATAGACTAGACTATAGACTAGACTATAGACTAGACTATAGACTAGACTATAGACTAAACTATAGACTAGACTATAGACTAGACTATAGACTAGACTAGACTATAGACTAGACTATAGACTAGACTATAGACTAGACTATAGACTAGACTATAGACTAGACTATAGACTAGACTATAGACTAGACTATAGACTAGACTATAGACTAGACTATAGACTAGACTAGACTATAGACTAGACTAGACTATAGACTAGACTATAGACTAGACTATAGACTAGACTATAGACTAGAATATAGACTAGACTATAGACTAGACTATAGACTAGACTATAGACTAGACTATAGACTAGACTAGACTATAGACTAGACTATAGACTAGATATAGACTAGACTATAGACTAGACTATAGACTAGACTATAGACTTAGACTAGACTATAGACTAGACTATAGACTAGACTATAGACTAGACTATAGACTAGACTATAGACTAGACTATAGACTAGACTATAGACTAGACTATAGACTAGACTATAGACTAGACTATAGACTAGACTATAGACTAGACTATAGACTAGACTATAGACTAGACTATAGACTAGACTATAGACTAGACTATAGACTAGACTATAGACTAGACTATAGACTAGACTATAGACTAGACTATAGACTAGACTATAGACTAGACTATAGACTAGACTATAGACTAGACTATAGACTAGACTATAGACTAGACTATAGACTAGACTATAGACTAGACTATAGACTAGACTATAGACTAGACTATAGACTAGACTATAGACTAGACTATGGACTAGACTATAGACTAGACTATAGACTAGACTATAGACTAGACTATAGACTAGACTATAGACTAGACTATAGACTAGACTATAGACTAGACTATAGACTAGACTATAGACTAGACTATAGACTAGACTATAGACTAGACTATAGACTAGACTATAGACTAGACTATAGACTAGACTATAGACTAGACTATAGACTAGACTATAGACTAGACTATAGACTAGACTATAGACTAGACTATAGACTAGACTATAGACTAGACTATAGACTAGACTATAGACTAGACTATAGACTAGACTATAGACTAGACTATAGACTAGACTATAGACTAGACTATAGACTAGACTATAGACTAGACTATAGACTAGACTATAGACTAGACTATAGACTAGACTATAGACTAGACTATAGACTAGACTATAGACTAGACTATAGACTAGACTATAAACTGGACGAAACTAGAAAAATTACCGAAAATGTCGTAAGGTTACCGCGGTATACTTCAATATGAAAAAGTTCTGAAATACTGAATTTTCCAGGCCTGGTTACTATATTTTACGTCATGTGTTTTTTCACTTTTATTCCGTTATGATTACAATCACGTCAGTTGGTTTAAAAATAAATTATATGATTTTTTCTTTGCCCTTTGTACTAGTTCTAAAGTAGCTAGTGATGTAGGACATGTTAAACTGGGTTCAGCTAATTCATTAACTCAATTAAATGTTTAATTAATATCGTTATTGATTTATGTTTTAGGTAAATATATCATTAATGTAGTTAACTAATAAATAAAAGATAAATAATTCGCATTATATGTAGGTTATTAAATAGATCTTTTTACAACAGCAGTCGTAATATTATGACTACCGTTAACCATAAAATTGTTATTATTGTCTATCCTCCGTTATCGTTAAATTTCAACTCACCGTGATTGTTAGGTTTTTTTTATCATTTCATTGAAAAATATTCATAAAGTGATTTCTTTTCGAGTTACTCATGTCTTTCAGATATCGTTTGTAGATGTCTTCAAGACATATGCTAAATTCTTGGTCTACACTTTTAAGCGAATATCTTAGAAATCATTATTGTCTTATATTGGCAATAATCCACATTTTCCTTAATGATTAGATGTCAGCCATAAGATTAATTTTAAGGTCCCCCTATTAAGAGCAATAATGACCAGAAATATAACTCTTTAAATGAGAGTTTGTGTGAAAACTTTTAACTTTATAAGAGTGTCTGCCAGAAGTAAAAGGCTATAGTTTTTCAGTAAAATCAGGGGATAGTCTATTGATTTAATACTGATCACTAACAGTAATTCAATTAAAAATATTGATTGATCTTTTTAATGATTTGTCATTGATCATTTCTGATTACAAATTACACTAGATAGGAAGATATCACTCTAAAAGAATAGAAACGGTTAAATTTCATAGTTTCATCTGATAGATCTGACAATCCGATCTTTTTACATCAACATTTACAACAATACGACAGCTAATTAGCTTTCCTGGGCTGGGTCCAGGGATATTCTAATCAATGTGCGCTATTGTAGAGCGAAGCAGTCACATTAAACAACTTCTGCTATAAGTTTTAATTACGTAGCCCATATGATCTGATCTGCATCCAATCATAAATTGCCCAGTAAGTATTCCTATAAGAAACCTTTATAAGTTTCGAGAGACATTACCAGAGCATTTTGGATAGTGGTGACAATTGGACCACTTGTGTTCCGATGTTCCTGTTGCCCTTTCATTAATGGCATTACCCGAATGCTCTCAGTTTCAAGACCCAAATCAATTTGACAGAGTGTCGTCTAAATTGACACAGAGTATGAAGTCAATTGATATTACATCTCGACCTTATCACGTTCGAGGCGAGAGCCATTAGTGGTGCAAGACCCTCTATGTAGATGTTAATGTCAATTTGTACTCTGATGGTGACCACGAAGAAGGGAGCGAAGAACTCAGTACTTCGCTCCCAAACATCTTTTGTGGGTATTTCGACTCCGAAGATATTATCAAAGATTGGATTGATGTTATAAATCTATCTGTTGCTTAGATTCCTGCTTTTGTAGGATGGTTAGTGAATCATATAGTTAGGAGAATAGCTCCAATAGTGTTAGACTAGAACAAATGCCGTACTTTATCTATTGCACAATGTAGGTAAGTCCCTATTCAATACGAGCGGGACCAAAATGTGGTACTTTGACTTGAGCCATAGTCGATACCGGTATTTGAAATACACATTAATTCGATTCAATGATGATTCAATTGCACGTTTTATTTAAAATACCCAATTAATTGCACTTAGAACTTCATAACTTTTTAATTAGGAATATATAAC